ACTTTAGAGTTTGTTCAACTCTAAAGATGTCTAATGGTGGATGGAGTAGAAAAAAAATCTACTGGAAGCCTCTTTTGGACCGATACGTACTGTAATGCTAACAGTAGTTTGAGTATGTAGACGCTACGAGTAAAATAATCAAAAAAAATTTAGAAGTTGTGTAAAACGTTATAATGTGACAACAGAGCTTCAAATGTTAAAGTTTACATTTAAGTATTTAAAAATTGAAGGCACCATGTGCTGCTGGTGTGTGGCTTTTGTTGGCACACCATTATTCTGCAACAAATGCTAATGCTGCTAACTCTGCTAATGCTGCTAACTCTGCTAATGCTGCTAACTCTGCTAACGTTGCTAATGCTGCTAACGCTTCCCTACACTGCAAACCTCCGGACCACAGATATCATCCACATTGTTTGAACACATTTGAATGTTGAATGAACACATTTCGAATTGAAAAATTAAATACCATCTCCATTAGCGTTAGCAGCATTAGCAGCATTAGCCACATTAGCAGCATTAGCAACATTAGCAGAGTTAGCTTTTGTCGTAGGATGACGACGTCGCAATGAAAGCTACTGGCTGCGTTCCATTCTGAAATACTTACATAAATGTAAACTTTAACATTTTGCCACAACGTTTAAGATTTAACTTTTTTATTTAGATGTAACTTTTAACATTTCAGTTTCAGTTTATGTAACGCAGAATGCAAAAATAATGAGACTAGAAGCCAGATTTAAAGTAAATATTTAGTAAAAAATGTGAAAAGTGTAAGAAGAGTGAGCTAAATAAAGATAAAATGTGTTTGGGACACTTTTTAACATTTTGTTTTACACTTTGTGGTAAGTCGACAAACCTCCAGAATGTTTAAGTTTACTCTGTTTTTGTTAAAAAGTCTCAGAATTCAGTGAGACGACAGAAAATTTGCTTATTTTTCTTACAACTCTGAGTCGCTGACTGATTGAACTGATGCTGTTTCCTGCTGACTGTCTGCTGTTTTATGAATTTAAGAGTAAGGTACTTTGTAAAAAATGATCTTTTTATACGAGTTACGCATTAATATATATTCAGCACTTTATCAACGTCAACGAGACTTTATTTTTAAATAAAAACATTTCTTCTTGGATGAACTTACTAACTGGTCCTGTTTTTATATCTGTGCCTTTAAACTTTTAAAGAAAATGTTTGGAATTAGTTTTAATGCTTTCAAACTAAAAGCAGCAGGGAGCAGAAGTGATTGTAAAAACAAGTCCTACCTCAGCGCTGCAGCTGAAAACATTCCATGTTTTTATTCTTTTATTGTATTTATTTGGTGTTGATTTAACCACAATATGAATTTTAT